AGGGACAGCGCCCGAAGGAGTGGTGGTTCCCCTATTTAAAAAGGGGACCAGAGGATGTGTGCAAATTACAGAGGCGTCACACTACTCAGCCTCCCTGGGAAAGTTTACTCTACGGTGCTGGAAAGGAGGGTCCTTTGAAGATTGAAGAAGAACAGTGCGGCTTTCGTTCTGGTCGTGGAACAACAGACCAACTCTTTACTCTCTCAGGTGTCCTGGAAGGGGCCTGGGAGTATGCCACTCCGGTCTACATGTGCTTTGTGGATTTGGAGAAGGCATATGACCAGGTTCCCCAGGATATCCTGTGGGAAGTGCTGCGGGAGTATGGGGTGAGGGGGCCACTCCTCAGGGCCATCCAAGCCCTGTATTTCCAAAGCGAGAGTTGTGTCCGGATTCTTGGTCGTAAGTCTGACTCGTTCCCAGTGGGTGTTGGCCTCCGCCAGGGCTGCGCTTTGTCACCAATCCTGTTTGTGAGTTTCATGGACAGGATATCGAGGCGTAGTCGTGGGGGGGGAGTTGCTGTTTGGTGGGCTGAGGATTGCATCGTTGCTTTTTGCGGATGATGTAGTCCTGATGGCATCATCGGCTTGTGATCTTCAGCACTCACTGGATCGGTTCGCAGCTGAGTGTCAAACGGCTGGGATGAGGATCAGCACCTCTAAATCAGAGGCCATGGTTCTCAGCAGGAAACCGGTGGATTGTCTACTCCGGGTAGGAAGTGAGTCCTTACCCCAAGTGAAGGAGTTCAAGTATCTTGGGGTTTTGTTCACGAGTGAGGGTAGAATGGAGCAGGAGATTGGCCGGAAAATCGGGGCAGCAGGGGCGGTATTGCGGTCCCTGTATTGCACTGTTGCCATGAAAAGAGAGTTGAGCCGAAAGGCAAAACTCTTGATCTACCGGTCGATCTTTGTTCCTACCCTCACCTATGGTCATGAGAGATGGGTCTTGACCCATCTCTCATGGCCCATTGCTCCTGGGATTCCAAATAATGGAATAAATCTGGACCATTCCTCTGCTGCCATTAATGCAGCTTCCTGATAAGATCATCTGTTATCTGTTTTGCAGCCAGTGGTGAAATGATGACAGCACACCTGTACTATCAGCATCTCTGCAGTGATGGGATATCAAGACCAAACCCAACTATGTATGTTGTGACAACTCCAACCAGCAAACATCCATCAACAGCAACAGCCCAGGAACTGGTACAGCTGCTACAGCTGCAGTTATAGTAGCAAAGTATTTTATTTTGGCCTGGAAAGCCTCTTTCTTCTTGTTGATGATCTCCAGGTTGATGTTGGACATGGCCAACAGAAGAGCATTCCTCTTGTGTGCAGGAAGTTCTCTCTGTAGGGTCTCATGTAGCAGATAGAAATCATACAGGTGGAGCTCAAAGCTGGACACCAGGAAGACTTGTGGAAAGTTCACACATTGATCTCGAAGACCTGTGCCACAAATGAATATTGTAGAAAGTTGTCCGTTTCTATGTGTGAGTCAAGGATCACACTGACTTTGAATATAACTCCGGTTTATTGATGAACACAGAACCGAGTGAGACTGAGCCGACATTAGTATCACAGTATCGTGGAGCAGGCAGAGCAAGGGGCACAGTGATTTGCTTAGCCATCAGACATACCTTCAGGTACGGTGGCTCACATTAAACAAACAGAGCATCATTTAGCCAAATGATCTACATCCTTTCCCTTAAGCTCACACCTCTTATATCAAACAAAATAACACCTGGAAAATGACAATAAAGAATATTTCTTTCTCGGCGCGTTGTTACACGAGTTTCAAAAAACAATCCATTAACGATATTCCTGGTTAAACTCAACACAGCAAATTAAGGCAGGTGAACACTTTAACTCACGTTAACACGTATGCATATTCGTAATACTATCGCCATACTGTGAGCCAGAAATGAAAGAACCTGGTGCAAGTATCCATTGACCATTACATTTCAAATACAGGTAACTAATTATTTAAACCACATTCCAGGCAGGATATTTTCATTGCATATATTTTGAGTTTGGTCTGCAAGTGCGTTCTGAGCGTGTTATGTATTGTGTGTTTCTGTTCTCACTGGGAAAGTGTGCTGTGGGCACTGGCCGGGGTGGGGATGTGTGTTTTGGGTGCATGGCGTTTGGTGTTTCTGGTGTGGGGGTTGTACAGTCCATCGTGCAGGGACTAGAGTTCTGAGTGTCCGGGTCATCTGCATGAAGCAGTGGTGGTGGTTGCTCTGCAACAGGAAGAATGTGGCGGCGATTTCTCCTGTATGTACCTCCATTGGACTGGATGACGTAAGAGCGTGGCTCCTGGCTTATCTCCTTCACAGTCCCAAGTTGGTCATATGCTTTAGGGGTCTGCATACGCACCACTTGTCCCTCTGCCAAAGGTTGGAGTGGGCGACTCGACTTGTCGTAGTGTCGTTTCAGAGTGAGTCTTTTGTTGAGGAGTTGGGCGTTGATTTGCTGGGCGTTCTTTGGGGCTGGTTCCAGTAGTTTGGTGCTCACGGGAATGGCTGCGCATGTCTGTCACATAGTTAAAACAATTATCATAGTTAAAACACCTTCTGAACTCCCCCACAGGGCGACAAATGATTTCTTTCTCAGACTATAAATGAAGGGGGGCGCAGGGGGACCTTGATGGGTAATCAGATTTTTGTAATGACTTTGAAACCCATTTTTAAAAGGGCTTTTTGTTGATTTATGTTTTATGACA